GTTTAAGTTATAATAACATCTCAGGGGGTCTAGCAATGACTTACAAATAACTACATACAGTGGCGAGCATATCTGGATACATATAAATCAAGTTTATATTAAAAACCCAATTAAATCCAGAAAATATTAAAAAAATTTAGATATTTGATTTATAAAAAGCAATAGAAGAATAAGAAAATAAAACAATAGAAAATTCGCGAATATGGAAACTTTATCTCAAGTTTTAGCCAATTTTATTAAAAAAGTCAATGTATCCACTTTTGCACGTTTAAATTTAATTAATGTAGCAACACAAATAAATTTAAAAATAGCAATGAATTTGAGTACTGCTACTTGATTTACCTTTCCAGAAAGCATCAAAATAAAAAGTTACCATTTTTGTGTCAAATTTGTAATTTTTTGCAATGATTTTAATTTTCAAGTTTTAATAAGAAAAATATCAAGTTTATTGGAAAACTAAAACGTCAAATTGCCAAGGAGTTAGGAATTTGCCTCCGAAGAGTGCTACAAGTCCAAGAAAGAAAAAAATATAAGCACACCAGAAGTTAAGAAAGTTCTATCGTGCTTGCTTTCGGAGAGAGATGCCTGAACTATGGAGCGTTTATTGACATCCAAACATCCCGGTTCTTTAATAAAATTAGATGCTATAATGAAAAAGGAGGATTATTATATTCCAGATTTTTTGGAACAATGTGCACATCCAGAGTCAGAGGTTACACACCAACAGGATGGGGATCCGAAGCATACGGCAAAAATCGTAAAGAATTAGCTTTCAACGCAGAATTTTTAAACGATGCAATTAACTCAATGTCCGGAAATCAATCCAATTGAAAATTTATGGGCTTTGTTAAAAAAACGTCTTGCGCAATACGGTAATGCACCAAGAGACCTTAATGAACTTTGGTCGAGAGTACAAACGGAGTGGGCTAATATTCCGCACCGGATCATTGAGTGTCAAAAAGGCAAAAGGACTTTGCACAAAATATTAAAAATTAAGGTTTTATTTATATATAAGGTTATGACTTTATTCATAAATATGTTTTAATCTTTAGATTAATATTTAATTATCATGAATTTTATCTTGTTTTCTTTTTATACTGTTTTACTAAATATTTTAAACTAAAAACTTCATTAGTTTTCTTTTATTTTATGGGTTTTATTGCATTTTTAAGTCTTATTTGCTAAACATGTATCCAGATTTGCTCGCCACTGTATATATGTTGAAACAAAATGTTTGCTATTACAAATAAAAAATGTTATTAATACCAAAAAGAGCTTGATTTAAGCTCGATTAGCACTTGATTTCAAAATTTATAACAATTTAGCAAAATGTTAATTACTAATAAAATTATCATTTGTCAAAAACTCCAATACCTATTACACTTTCGTATACATCTTGATCTATACATGTGATATACGTGACCTTGTAATATAAACAGATGAATTGGTTGAGGTTGAGCTTTAATAACAAAAATACTCCATAATTTTATTTAAGTTCTGTTAAAATTACTTAAGTAAAAGTGGCAACAACAATTTTGTAAAACAACATTAACCAGTTCTACTAAACTCTCTCCTCAATTTTTTTCTAAAACCTTCTAATAATAACAATGTTAATTTGCTCATTACCCTATAGTTTTGAAGAGAAAAAATACACGGAATAACAAAACTTTATGAGCATAGCATAAAAACAAAAAAAAATAATATTTAACTCTCATCCAGCAACCTGCAAAATTTATAGTTAATAAATCAAGTCCATCTTTTCTTCACCCACTCAATTGAAACAATAGAAATAAGTTTGTATATTCCCCAATTCTCTCTCTTTCTGTTTAGCTTTTGCTGTTAAATTTACCCTAGTAACATTATATAAAATTAGCTAATACCATCATTATTATCATCATCAGCCACCAGTCACAGCACCACCAACGACAATCATTGTCAGCGTCATCATTAGCATGGTGCTGTTGGGACTGTTCGTTTGCTTTACACGATTTTGACCGACTTTTCTTTGCAGTTTTTTCACTTTATTGTTTCTCTATATAATAATTTTTGGTTTGTGACTTTTCACAAAATGATTAAAGCAGCTGGAATATGAACAGAAAACAGAAACAAATGAAATACAATTGCACAGACAGACAGAGGGACAGTTAGACATACTTTAATGTATTTGTCAAGTGTTTAAATACATGACTAGTTAAATGAATGAATAAATGACAGAATGACGAAGACGACGGCATATGAATGAGTTAGATTGATAGTTAAACTATTGTTAGATATTGCAGTATATTTATATTCACTTGCTATTAAACAATTGCTCTACAAACAGATATTTAAAGGAATTTATTAAACAAATATTATTTTCAGTTCTTTTGTCGTTATTGTGTAAATTAAATTATAAATCTTTTTATGAAGCCCAACTAAGCTTGATCTACTTATTAAAAATATTTAACAAAAAATTTCCATATTGACGATATTTTTAATGTGTTATTTTAACCTACAAACATTAAAAATCTACACACCATTTCTTTTCCCACGATGTACAGTATTAAGAGATTAATATACTTTTTTTTTAATTTCCTCTAATATTGAAATAATGCTTTAAATTCTTTTAAACTACTGAACTGGACTGTTGCACTTGTGGACTTAACTGTCCATATACATACTTATGAGCAACGTGTCCAGTGAGTAAAACTAGTACATCTGTATGTATATACAGAAACTTATTTAAAACAAATTGTTTTTATGCAAATTACTCGTATATGTAGTTATAAGTATATACATATAACCCAATAAACAATAATTGTAATGATAATAGATATAAAATAAATCACACTGTTATTGTAACTGACAAGAAGATCATGGAAACAGAAGTATTTATAACCAATACATGCATATAATATAATGTTTTTACATGACGTTAAATATTAATGACGTCTTTTATTGGAGTACATATACATACAAGATATCCCTATTATATTTAAAAAAATATAATACATAAAAACAAAACCGAACCAATTATCAGTTCTAGTTCAGTTCTTGTTCAGTTCTAGTTCAGTTCTAGTTCAGTTCTAGTTCAGTTCTAGTTCAGTTCTAGTTCAGTTCTAGTTCAGTTCTAGTTCAGTTCTAGTTCAGTTCTAGTTCAGTTCTAGTTCAGTTCTAGTTCAGTCTAGTCAGTTCTAGTTCAGTTCTAGTTCAGTTCTAGTTCAGTTCTAGTTCAGTTCTAGTTCAGTTCTAGTTCAGTTCTAGTTCAGTTCTAGTTCTAGTTCAGTTCTAGTTCAGTTCTAGTTCAGTTCTAGTTCAGTTCTAGTTCAGTTCTAGTTCAGTTCTAGTTCAGTTCTAGTTCAGTTCTAGTTCAGTTCTAGTTCAGTTCTAGTTCAGTTCTAGTTCAGTTCTAGTTCAGTTCTAGTTCAGTTCTAGTTCAGTTCTAGTTCAGTTCTAGTTCAGTTCTAGTTCAGTTCTAGTTCAGTTCTAGTTCAGTTCTAGTTCAGTTCTAGTTCAGTTCTAGTTCAGTTCTAGTTCAGTTCTAGTTCAGTTCTAGTTCAGTTCTAGTTCAGTTCTAGTTCAGTTCTAGTTCAGTTTCTAGTTCAGTTCTAGTTCAGTTCTAGTTCAGTTCTAGTTCAGTTCTAGTTCAGTTCTAGTTCAGTTCTAGTTCAGTTCTAGTTCAGTTCTAGTTCAGTTCTAGTTCAGTTCTAGTTCAGTTCTAGTTCAGTTCTAGTTTCTAGTTCAGTTCTAGTTCAGTTCTAGTTCAGTTCTAGTTCAGTTCTAGTTCAGTCTAGTTCAGTTCTAGTTCAGTTCTAGTCAGTTCTAGTTCCGTTCTAGTTCAGTTCTAGTTCAGTTCTAGTTCAGTTCTAGTTCAGTTCTAGTTCAGTTCTAGTCAGTTCTAGTTCAGTTCTAGTTCAGTTCTAGTTCAGTTCTAGTTCAGTTCTAGTTCAGTTCTAGTTCAGTTTCTAGTTTAGTTCTAGTTCATTTCTAGTTCAGTTCTAGTTCAGTTCTAGTTCAGTTCTAGTTCAGTTCTAGTTCAGTTCTAGTTCAGTTCTAGTTCAGTTCTAGTTCAGTTAGTTCAGTTCTAGTTCAGTTCTAGTTCAGTTCTAGTTCAGTTCTAGTTCAGTTCTAGTTCAGTTCTAGTTCAGTTCTAGTTCAGTTCTAGTTCAGTTCTAGTTCAGTTCTAGTTCAGTTCTAGTTCAGTTCTAGTTCAGTTCTAGTTCAGTTCAGTTCTAGTTCAGTTCTAGTTCAGTTCTAGTTCAGTTCTAGTTCAGTTCTAGTTCAGTTCTAGTTCAGTTCTAGTTAAGTTCTAGTTCAGTTCTAGCTCAGTTCTAGTTCAGTTCTAGTTCAGTTCTAGTTCAGTACTAGTTCAGTTCTAGTTCAGTTCTAGTTCAGTTATAGTTCAGTTATAGTTTCTAATATGTTTTATCAGATCGAACTATCTATCACAAACAATTTGTACACAAAACTATTTTTAAACGATCTGTACAAATATTATTTTGAGGAAATTTCGTCATTTGAAGTCTCCATTTATTTTGTTCGTTATAAAATGCAGTAATTATGTACATATGCCCAGTAGTCTTAGATGTATGTATCAGTTAGACTATAAACGTTGCACAGTTTAGTTAAAATTTTTGTTTAGGATTATCAAAAATCCTTCATTTAAGATACAGAAATCATAGAAATAGAAATACATAAAATACTAATAAAATAACACTATAATACTAATTACTAAAACTAGAATTACCTTAAATAGTTAAATAAATAATTAAAAAATATATTTAAAAAAAAGTAATTTGTTTTTATATTCACCTTTTAATAAAGTATTGTGATTTTACTTATTTGTTTGTTTAGGTTGTAATTTTTTTTTGTGTTTTATAAAACAATTATTATTAGATAATCGTTAATTTAGACAAATTTTGTTGTTGTTCTTGTTGTGGATTTAAGTTGGTGTTGTGGTTGTTGTTGTTATTATTGTTTTAGTTACAATTTTTACAGTAGAACTTGTATGAATGGCTGACTGTTGTTTGTTGTAATAGAAGTAGAAGATAAAGAGAAATTGTTTTTGTTTTTATTCTATTTCACTTTTTGTTATTGTTGCTTTTATTAGTGGCTTTTTGCAAAATCTACTCTTCGTAACAACAATGAGATAGTTGTAGTCGTTGTTGTTTTTGTTTTTGTACAGAATGATGTTGATGACGACGATGCAGCAGCAGTTGTTTTTGTTTATAAAGTTGTTCTTTTTTATTTATATATATTTTTTTAATAGTATTTTTAAATTAGTTTGTTGTTGTTTTTTTAGTTTTTTATATCTGTTTTTATTGAGATGATAAATAAAGTTACATACACATGCAAACTTTTGTATGATACTAACATATACACACACATATACAATGTATTTTGTAGTTGTTGTTTTTATTTTCTTTCTTTCCTTCTTTTTTGAAAATTGTTGTTTTTTTAAGTGATGAAATTGTTTTATTTCCGTTTTTATTTTAAAAAATAATTCGTTGCTGGAACTGAAGGGAGAAACAATTAATAAATAATGATTTAATTTAATAAATATTTTTGTATCTTATGCAAAATAATTATCTAATAGTATGCACAACTTTAGAAATTTATGATGTTTTCAAAATTATTTAATTGAACTGTTTTTTATTTCATTATTTTATTAGCAACAAAACCTTTCTTTTATTCCATTTATATTCACTTTACTTGTTTTTATGTACTTTTTTATTGCTTTACTTTGATTTTTATTTTTCTTTTGTTATTATGTATTCTTTCTCCGCTCAATACTTTAGGGATTTGAATTTATGAAAACGTATTGTTTAATATAGAGGAATGACGACAACGACGACCGTTCAGTGCCAAAGTTTAGTACGTACTTAACGTAAAAGAAAAATGTTTTTTGCAGTATTATTTTCTTCTTTTCTGTTTTCGTGAAATTGTCAAATTGTAATTTCATGTCATCATGGTTCAATTTCCATTTGGACTTTTTACATACCTCAAGGTGGCATAACAACAACTTTGTTCCAACTGAAAACTTTCTCTGAGCTGCGAAAGTTCTACAAGCAGCAGTGGCTGCTAAAAGCAAGAGAACTTTTCCTTTGGCTCAAATTAGCTCCTAACAGTAATGCTTATGCAGCGAATTTTATGTAAAAGCTCTTAATGGATTTGAACTTAAACTTCTTAGTTTCTAACTAACTACTAACTAACTAACTAACTAACTAACTAACTAACTAACTAACTAACTAACTAACTAACTAACTAACTAACTAACTAACTAACTACTAACTAACTAACTAACTAACTACTAACTAACTAACTAACTACTACTAACTAACTAACTACTAACTAACTACTAACTAACTAACTAACTAACTACTACTAACTACTACTAACTAACTAACTAACTAACTAACTAACTAACTAACTAACTAACTAACTACTAACTAACTAACTAACTAACTAACTAACTAACTAACTAACTAACTAACTAACTACTAACTAACTACTAACTACCTAACTACTAACTAACTACTAACTACTAACTAACTACTAACTAACTAACTAACTAACTAACTAACTAACTAACTAACTACTAACTAACTAACTAACTACTAACTACAACTAACTAACTAACTACTAACTAACTAACTAACTAACTAACTAACTAACTAACACTAACTAACTAACTACAACTAACTAACTAACTAACTAACTAACTAACTACTAACTAACTAACTAACTAACTAACTAACTAACTAACTAACTAACACTACTAACTACTACTAACTACTACTAACTAACTAACTAACTAACTAACTAACTAACTAACTAACTAACTAACTAACTACTAACTACTAACTAACTAACTAACTACTAACTAACTAACTAACTAACTAACTAACTAACTAACTAACTAACTAACTACTACTAACTAACTAACTAACTAACTAACTACTAACTATCTAACTAACTAACTAACTAACTAACTAAAAATATTTAATATCTATTGAAAATGTTCACTAAACGCTTAATCAGCCTTACTTAAATTCCACACAAAGCTCTTCTTACTCTCTTAATTGACGCAAAACTTTAAAAAGAAAATTCCTCTCTCGTTGTATGTAATTTTTTTTAACTACAGAAAGTTTTTGCTGCATTTCCTTAAATAAAAACAGAAGCTTATCTGTCATGTATAACAGAATAGAAATATACTTCAAACACACAAAATAAAAATGATTTATTTAAATTAATCAAAACTTATTATTCATTCACATTTGTTTGCACTTTGCTTTTTTGAACAATACCTATGTTCCTCATTTATTATTCCCTATTCTATATAGTATAGAAAAACCAAAACAAAGTTCCCTAGTGCTTTTAATACTCTGAATGAAACCAGCAGAACTAAAAAGACAAAATGATAATAAAAAGCATAGAAAATAAAGTAGAAAAAAGTATGAATGTGCATAATGTTGTAGAATTATTACTAATTTATGTTTTTCTTTAACAATTTTTAAAGTAAATTCTAACAAAAAGCATAGAAATATGGTAGACAGTAATAGTAAGTAGAGATAAAAGTGTTGCCAGGAGGTTTTTTATAAGAGGTACATATATTTTGATAATGGTTCTAGTTCTTATAAAAATAATTGTACTAATTGAAATTTTTAACAAACACTGAACAAAACGTAATGTTTTAGTAAAAAATTAACAACTTCAATGGCAACACTGAGTGTTAAAACTGGGAGAGTGTGTTTTCATGTGCATTGGTATTTTTCTTTTATTAGGGCAGTAGGTTTTTCCCGACCCGTTAAATATTTTGCTACACACAATATACAAACAGTCATATATCTCTTTGTTATACACAGACAAACATTTGTGTATAAAAATTTATGTTTTTCTTTTTGTTATAAAAATCCAAGAGAAAAGCTTTTGTGAATTTTTGTTGTTGTCGTCTATTTTTTTATGTGATTTGCTGTTGTCAGTTCTTCTATAAATGTGTAAGAGTAGTAGTGGAGAGGCTCGTGTAAAAGCAGGAAAGAAGAAATCTTTTAGTTCCTTTTTTGAAAAATATCGAACAAGACAACAGCAACTACTGTAATAAGAGCGGAAGTAGTCATTTTCTTTTGTTCTTCTCCACAGTCTCATACTGTTTTATTGGCAAAAAGGGATGAAGAAGATGAGATAAAACAAATGTAAATGTGATTATGTAGGTATTTGGGAACAATTTAAACAAGAAAGTACTAAAGATGTAAAACTTTTTTGGTACAATTCACTACAGAAAATCCCTAAAATTTATTTAAAAATTTAGTTTAAGGTACCCTACTTGCAGACTTTTTTAATATTCTATCCAATTGCTTATCCACTTTGTCTATCTTTTTTATTATTGTTTATAATTTCTTTATGTATTCCATTATTTATGCATAATTTTCTGAAAACATCAGCAAATCTTAAGTAAATTGATCTTTGGAAACTTCAAACTGAAAAAGGCAAAAAGAACCACATAAGAACAGAAAGTGTATGAAAGCAGGGAATAGAAAAATTATAAATTAAGAAGAACTAAGACAAAAAGAAATGTACGAAAAATACTTGTGCCATAGAAAACTAAAAGCTAAGGAAAAAGTAACATCAAACAAAAAGCATGCAAGAAGCTTTTTGCGTTGTTGTAATGAAAATTTAGGGGAGAATGAAACAGTGATAGAAAGAGTAAAACAAATTTATCACATTTATAATCAAAAAAAGAGAACAACATTAACAAATACGCTCTTAAATTTAAAACATTGAATAACAATACATTATGTTTATGTAAAAGTATCTTTTCCTAAAGTTTTGTACTCTTTCCGATGCATTTTAAAGCAGAGATAGGACACATCAGGCATGGAAAATTAAGTGCATTAGTACTTTTTCAAGTAATTTTTGATATCAAAATATACCGCAGTACCCCCAGGACATTTTCGGTACTTTTTCCAACTTATATTTTTTGCCAACATAGTAGGCAACAGACCACTGGTTCATAGTCCAGTCTAGTGTCTAGTCTAGTCTACAGTTTTGTATAAAGTCAAATCTTTAGCCTACTCTATTGTCTAGTCTATAGTCTAGTCTAGTCTAGTCTATAGTCTAGTCTATAGTCTAGTCTATAGTCTAGTCTATAGTCTAGTCTATAGTCTAGTCTATAGTCTAGTCTATAGTCTAGTCTATTATAGTCTAGTCTATAGTCTAGTCTATAGTCTAGTCTATAGTCTAGTCTATAGTCTAGTCTATAGTCTAGTCTATAGTCTAGTCTATAGTCTAGTCTATAGTCTAGTCTATAGTCTAGTCTATAGTCTAGTCTATAGTCTAGTCTATAGTCTAGTCTAGTCTAGTCTATAGTCTAGTCTATAGTCTAGTCTATAGTCTAGTCTATAGTCTAGTCTATAGTCTAGTCTATAGTCTAGTCTATAGTCTAGTCTATAGTCTAGTCTATAGTCTAGTCTATAGTCTAGTCTATAGTCTAGTCTATAGTCTAGTCTATAGTCTAGTCTATAGTCTAGTCTATAGTCTAGTCTATAGTCTAGTCTATAGTCTAGTCTATAGTCTAGTCTATAGTCTAGTCTATAGTCTAGTCTATAGTCTAGTCTATAGTCTAGTCTATAGTCTAGTCTATAGTCTAGTCTATAGTCTAGTCTATAGTCTAGTCTATAGTCTAGTCTATAGTCTAGTCTATAGTCTAGTCTATAGTCTAGTCTATAGTCTAGTCTATAGTCTAGTCTAGTCTAGTCTATAGTCTAGTCTATAGTCTAGTCTATAGTCTAGTCTATAGTCTAGTTTATAGTCTAGTCTATAGTCTAGTCTATAGTCTAGTCTATAGTCTAGTCTATAGTCTAGTCTATAGTCTAGTCTATAGTCTAGTCTATAGTCTAGTCTATAGTCTAGTCTATAGTCTAGTCTATAGTCTAGTCTATAGTCTAGTCTATAGTCTAGTCTATAGTCTAGTCTATAGTCTAGTCTATAGTCTAGTCTATAGTCTGATCTTGATCTTCTTAGTTTCCGAGTTATGGGACTTCAAATTTTCAATATGTACCTATTTAATAAACAAAAAAAGTATAGTTATTGAGTACAAACCAGAGATGCACAACCCAGAATAAAAAAATTTTAACAAAGAAAAAGATTGTAGGTACCTATAGTCTAGAATATAGACTAATATAATATCCATACTCTGGATATTTATAAATTGCAGATTTATTATCAAATATTTCTGGTTATGAATTGATTTAGTAAAATGTATCAGCTACCTATTTAAATATATTATTATATACTACATTTTGCATCTCTGTCAACTAAAGCGACATTGTTATATGGAATAAAGTGAGTACAAAATAATTTTACATATTGAAGAATATAGAATGTTGTTGTTATATTATTTGCTGTAGATAGATTTGTTGTATGTATATACATATGTATGTAGATATGTATATAAGTCAGTGTTTTTTCGGATTTTCTTCTACCATCTATATAAGCTCTTTCTCTAACTAAACTCTCTTTAAATTAATGCTGTTTTTGTTGTTGTTGTTGGTGTTGTGCTGCTTTGACACACTTTTGTATGACGTCGTTATAATTGTATGTATTATTTTTCTGTCTGCTTCTTCTTCATCTTTGTATCCACTTTAGAATGAAAAAAAAAAAAAAATGAAGAAGGAAAAAAACAACAAATTGTTTAAAATGAAAACTTTTAACGATTTTGACTGTAAACTAAATAATTAACACTATATTGCTACTAATATTTGTTTTTGTTCTTTTAACAAGAAAATCTAAGAAATTCATTTTTAAACACTTTTATTTTTTTGCAACATAATAATTTTGCACCAAATGCTCCTCGCGTTTAGATAATTTAAACAACTTTTGTTTTTGTTTATTAAACATTTTATGTAACCTGCTGCACTAGATACAATTTTGTATCTCGAACCTATGAACGAAAAAAATCAATTCATAAAATTGTTAAAAAACAACAACAAACAAATTATATACTAATTGTTGTGTTTCTTTTTCTGGTCTTGTCATAAAGATATTTGGCATTGAAATGGGTAAAAAATCGTTATGCTGCTATTAGATTTTTGTTGTAGGTTGGTAGTTTTTTTCTTTTTTTTTATTCAAATAAAATATTTACACAAAATTGCACCAACACACACAAAGCTTAATTTGTTTTTTGATAATTTTATATAAAATATCTTAGAAATATTTCTTTCAACTTTATTAAATCAATTTGTATCTTCAATCTCACTTTAATTTTTTTTTAGGGAAACACCACCGTTTAGTGCGTTGTTTTTTGTTATTGTTGTTTGTTTTCTTAATAGAATGAATGAAAATTTTAACTAGGTTTTTATTTTGTTTTTTTTTTTAATAGTTTTTTGAATGGTGTGTAAACATTTAATACGAACGAACGAATCGCTTCAAGTAATGGCTCGAAAGTGATTCCATCGATATTTCTCTAACGCATACAAAGGCAAACAAACGGGCGGCTGGCAGGCATTATTAATATAAGAAAAAGGCATAGTAGCACAGATTTGTTTTTTTTTTCGTTCTTCTCTTCTTCTTCCAATTGTGACCACATTCCAAAACAGTTTATAAAATAAAAACGGAAAAATCAAACTCTCTTTTGTAAAAGAGAGCTTTTAATCAGAAAATAACTTTACATTAGTGATGCCAGATTCTGGGGAAATTTGTTTTCCTAACATTTACCAAATAAATACAAAATGTTCATTTTAGTTTATTAAATAAAGATCAATGTATTGAGATGAATGTATTGAATTGTAAATCGACATTCATCAGAAAGTGTAGAAAATTTTGTTTTTGCTCTTTAATACTGATTATTGTTTGTTCCAGATCGAAAATATTTTCGTTTTAGCTTTTTAAAGTCTCAGAAATACTTATTAGAAAAGTATTTTTTCAAAAATCAAGCACTTAAAACCCCAGACAATGATGGGCACGTAAATATAGTGTAAAATATAACTTTCTCAAATTACGTATCAAAATTAAGAATTGGATAAATTATTTTTCTGATATCGGCGAAAACTTTAATTACATAGGCCAACAAAATTTCATAAACGTTGAAACTTTAGAGACCAGTACTCGTTTCTGTAATTTTTTCGAATCGAACTTAAAATATATCGTGACCCTATTAAAAAGTGCGAATTCAATTTTGGGCAAAGTGAGTTTTTGATGCAAAAGGATTCCTCAATGCATGATCCACGTCTGGTATAAATTTGAAACCAAAAAAGTAATTTTTGCACTTTTAACAAGAATTTTTGTTAATATGCTATCTCAAAGTTAAATTTTTATTGAAGAAAATAAGTGCTAACTTCCATACAAATTTTACAAAATTTTTTAAAACTTCAAATTTATTTAAAATTTATTTTGTATATTAACAAGATGAACATGCTGAACACAAAACAGGTGGAGATTAATAAATTGAATGCATAGTTTTAAAGATATGATCATTTATATATTTGTATATAAAGCCAGTTTTAGACTTTAAATAATGTTTTTCCGAATAATGTAAAGTTATTTCAGAAATCGTTTATAACACTTAGATCTATAATATTCAATGGTTCCAATTTAGAATTTTGATTATAAAAAAGTCTTTAAATGTGCAAATTATGGAGTATTATTCAAAAAATATTGGTACTTTTTATATTCAAAAACTTTTCATAATTTAAAATATTTGTACTGAGAATAAGGAATAGTAAACAAGCAGATATGCCATGAGTTTTTCTACTTAAATGGTGTAAATGCATCTTATTGGACTTATTGGTTTGACTTATATCCCTTAAAAAAAAAAAAACATTTCATAAAATTATAAAATAACGCATATTATTAGAAGAAATTTTTGATTAAATTATAATACAAACAGTTTATATTCTTCAAAAAGTGACAACAAAAGAAAAACCATAGTTTTCTGGGTATTGATCAAATTAACATTTTACTATCTAGTTGATCAATGTTGAAATGTAATAAAAAATTCTCTATTAAATACCTAACATGTATATAAAACTAATTTCTTAGAAAAAATGCCATATTTTATCACAAAGAATGCTAAATTTTAAGCCAAAAAGAAATAGTGTTGAACAAAAAATTAAAAAAATCCATAGGAATTAGTGAAATAAACAGTTTGCTAACTTGTGAATTTAGCACAGAGCTCTTTAAATTCATTTCTTCGACTTACTTATTTCATTCCAACGAGTAAATTAAAATTTTTCACTGGTACTTTATAGCAACAAGATTATATGAACTATATATTCCCAATTGGAATTTTTGCATATATTGTTGGCACTAAACAGTCATTCGCTTTTAAATACGTCTGGCAACACTTTTTTTCAAATTTATTTCTCTTATTATATTTTTTTGTTTTTGCACTCTCTTCTTATTTTTATTTTTTTATGCGAATAGCTGAAAAAATCCATAAGATGTACTTTACCCGTAGAATTAATTTTATTGCTTAGAATGTATGTATTTTATAATTAATATTTTTTATTTAATCTTGAAAATAATATTCATTTACTTTTTTTACTCCTGCTATTAGTTAATAATAGTTTGTTTTAGTTTTAATTAAATTATTTATTTTTTAAACACTTTATTTGTAACACATTCACTCAAATGTAGAACGAACACTATTAATGAAAACACAACAACCACTTTGTAATGAACATAGTGCTTCTTGCTACACATAGTGTCGCCAGACGTGGGGATTTGTCCCCAAATTGGGGATTTCAAGTTATATTTGGTGACATACATATTTTCGTGGGGAGGGATTTGGAACTTTTCATAAAATTTGGGGATTTTTCACAATTTTTCCGTTATTTGTGAGGATTTTTATTTTTTATTCTAGTCTAATTTTATAATAATTTTAAAATAATAATTTATTTAAAGGTCAACGCTGCAATCAAAGCAAATTCATTTAGACTTGGCTACAAATCTTTAAAAAAAAGTAACGGAAATTATACTTTTCTAAAGCATTAAGCAGCGCTATATCCGAATCTGGCCTCAATGGTTAAACCTTTATTTTAAAGACGATAGATTTGACTTTCAGATGTCATAATAGATCTAATAAGTAATCTTCGCACTGTTATATGGCCAACAACGCGGTTTTCAAACTTCATGACACGATATCTGCAAAACCTGATGTGATGGATAAATTCTGAGGCCAGATTCAGCGCTGGTCAATCCTTTAGAAAAGTATACTTTAGTCGCTCCGTGCCGACAACAACCACTTTGTATATTCTTTGAGTTACAGAAATAATTAAAATCACGACTATACCAATACACTGAGAGAAAAAGGTCGTCAGAAAATTATAATGCACTTCGTTGTGTAAACGGTTAAAGATAAAATTAAGGATATTTATGGATCCTAAATCCTTTAAAAGTACAATAAATAAAGTCTGTACCTATAACAGTCGTTAAGATTGAAATAAACCGGGGAATTTAAAAATACAAAGACAATAATCTGGACTGTAGACTAGGCAATGGCCTGGACTATAGGCTAGACTATAATCTGGACTATTGACTAGACTATAGTCTGAACTATATATTTAACTATAGTCCGAAGAATAGACTAGACTTTAGTCTAGGCTATAAACAGAACTATTGGCTAGACAATAGTCTGGTCTATAGGCTAGACTATAGTCTTGACAATAGACCAATAGAATAATCTAGTCTGGTCTATAGGCTAGACTACAGTCTTGACAATAGACCAATAGAATAGCCTAGTCTGGACTATAGGCTAAACTATAGTCAGGACAATAGACTAAAATAAATGTTAGACATAAACTAAACTATAGTCTGCACAATATAGAAGACTATAGTCTGTACAATAGACAAGACTATAATCTGGACAATAGTCTAGACAATAGTATGAACTGTAGACTACTGTAAAGTCTAGACTATAGTCGAGTTTAAATATAATATTCTAGAGACTGTAGTACAGTTTATGGTCCGGATCGTGTACTATATTCTATTCTGAAGTCTAGAGTTTAATTACAATATTCTAGAGACTTTAGTCCAGTTTATGGTCCCGATCGTGTACTATATATTACTCTGAAGTCTAGAGTCTAAGGTAGATGAAGAAATAGTCTGAAGCTAGAAATACATACATAAATCTCTATCAAATGTCAATTTGGAAACGATTAATAAAATTAGATAATACAAACTTACTAAAATAGCAGCAGGGCAACTAAAGAAATCGGGAAAACTTTTTAATTTTTTTCTCATTTAGTTTTTATTAATTTTTTTAAAGTATGTTGCTAGAAAATGTTCTTTTAACACAATTAATATCATTGAATAATATTAAATAATTAATTTATTTATATTTATTACATTAATTTTACTTAAATTTAACTTAAATTTATCTGTGTGTGATCGATGATCATAGGACTTTTTCAAAAAGCTATTTTGGTTTTGGTGGACACTGGGTAACAGGAAATTATTTTAAGTACAAATAAATTAGCAAGTACAAAATATATAGAAAAGTTAAGAATAAAAGTGAAACGAGGCTACACAATTGTCAACAATTCAGAATTGCAGTACAGATTTTTCAATAAAAGAAATTGTCAAAGATTTTATAAAATAATTATTATATGTCTTAATGGGTACTGGAAAGTTTGAAAAATATTCGAGTTTACTTGTCTTCGATAACATATTTAAATAACCCTCAATATGAAAAAGTACATATGAATGTATTTCGAGTTCTGCAAAAAACTTTCTACAAATACTTTTTGAAAAAGTCACTGGTTCATAGTTATTTATGAGATTTTTTGTTGTATTAATATCACTCATACAATAAATATATATTTCTTTAATAATATTAAATATTTCACTTTAAACAAAGTTAAATACAACAAACAGTCATACGTGCCTTAATTATTAATTAAGAAAAATAAAAATTTGTGTTAGAAAAAGATAAATTGATATATCATAAGAAAGCAAAAAAGTGAAAAAAAAAACACGAAACACTAAAGAAGTAAACAACTGACCCACTTCAAAAACAAATAAAACTAAATAAATTACCACACAATAAAATAAAATCGTCTAGTTAAAAAAAAAAAATATTAAATGAACGAGAAAAACTAAAAACATTTTTGGTATTAAGTAAACTCCAAGTCAATGTAAGTCAGTCAAGATTATTTAAAATAAAGTTAAAAAAGAGAAGAAAAATTTAAATACATAAATTCATTTAAACATAAAGTGATCAACTGTGTCTTTGTAGGATAAATGCCAAAGAATCCATGGGACACAGGGTTATATCTTCATCGATTTTTTGAGAAGACAAACGTTTAAGGAATGTTAAATTCGTTTTATAAACCGCCGAAACATTATGAGAACCCCACTGCAATAAATGATGTAAATTTAACTGGAAATGGAGAAAGGAAATTGATAAATATTAACAACAATATTAAAGCATTTTTAACCCACCTCGCCAGTATTTTGAGCCTGTAGTCCCGAGCATTGCATTAAATTAGTTCGATGTATGATAAGTCCAGTGTTTTGTTGCATATGAGGCTTACGATCTCGGGCTATAGCTGGTATAGCACTGGAGGCTGGCAAATTTCTCATTACCACAATTT